TCTCCTTTTTCTTTGGCAGATCCAAGAGTCAGAAGAACCCTGTAGTCCTATTTGGAAAAGACTTGAAGGCCCTTTTCTCCGAGAAAGTATTCATCGTAAATGTACTTGGTTACATCACCTACAACTTTGTAATCGGAGCTTACTCATATTGGGGACCAAAAGCTGGTTTTGGTATCTACCAAATGAAAAATGCAGACATGATTTTTGGAGGGCTTACAATCATCTGTGGGATAATTGGAACATTAGGTGGAAGCTATGTGCTTGATCGCATAAACGCTACACTCTCAAACACCTTCAAGGTAAAAAACAAACCAAAACATCACTAAACACTTTTTTATTACAAAGTAGAATTCCTCTTTCTGATTATGATTGGTCTTTCATACAGTTACTAGCTGCATCAACTTTGCTCGGCGCAGCGTTTTGTTTTACTGCTTTCTGCATGAAGAATATGTATGCCTTCATCGGTCTATTCGCAATTGGAGAAATCCTAATCTTTGCACCACAGGTAACATAAGCAAATAAATCTTTAACAGTTTTGAGGCAAGCTAATCTCTGTTTCTGATCGGCTTTTTTATGATGTTTCTTTCGCAGGCTCCAGTGAACTTTGTGTGTCTCCATTGTGTTAGACCAAACTTGAGACCACTATCAATGGCTTGTTCAACAGTTTTGATCCATGTCTTAGGCGATGTTCCTTCTTCCCCACTTTACGGCAAAATGCAGGATCGTCTTAAAAATTGGAGAACATCAACTCTTATAATTACTTCAATCCTCTTCCTCGCAGCTATTATATGGAGTATTGGTAAGGACTCATAATTCCTTTTTTTTTTTTAATTCATCTAATAAACTTTTTCTTACTTGTGTATATTTTTCTAAAGTAATTTTTGTTGATTTGTAGGGATATTTATGAATAGTGTGGACCGGTCTAATGAAGAAAGTGAAGATGATGAGATCGAAGAGAAGAAATTGGAAAGCAAAGCAGCAGAGAACTCTTCACTCGTTTAAATTTTGAAGAAATCTTTGTTTTTTTCCTTTCTTCTACGAGCAAATAATTTTTTTAGATTCTTTTGTTCTCCATTAGTTCTCAATCGGACCTCAAATTCATTTGA